CGTTGGCTGATCGTTTATCTTGTGTGGAGCCTAGACAATCACCAACACTTACCTGTTCCTTCCACAAGGAGATCTTCTTCGATGACGAGTGTCACATTGCCAACAGTATCAGTCACTACCCTGTGTGTTCCAATCCAGTGGGGGCTCATTTATCCCAGTTTTTTAATCTAAAGCGATATTTTATCAGGGATACATGGACACTTCACGTTTCATCAGAGAGACTTGTCATCCATTTTTTTCTCCCTTTCCTCCGTTGTATCAGAAATCTGTTTCCTTTCTGTTGCCTTGGGATCTGCCCGATGTCAACGTCTATACAAGGCAGTACAAGATCTTTCTCAACATGCCATTGAACCTTTGGATTTTATTCCAAGCTGTTTGTGGTACCCAAGAAAACCAGATACTGGCAGTCTGTAATGGATCTGTCACTCCTCAATCACTTCTTGGTGTTACCTCATTTTACCATGGAGTCATTTTTCAGTCCCAGATGGGCTTTTTCTCCAGGTGTATGGATGATCATGGTCAACATCTCAAATCCATATTCCCATGGCGAGACACTACCTTTGGTTTGTTCATCACGGGGTGGTTTATCAATTTTGCACTCTTCCTTTTGGGCTTGCTACAGCACTGTGTGTCTTTTATCGGGTGGTTACGGCTTTTGCGGGTCTTATGCTCACTCCAGGGCTTCTCTTGGTTCATTCTGAATTGGAGTCTGCCCAACACTCTCATCTGCTTCTTTCAAAAGCGACTCGTTGGTTGGTTGATCAAGTTGGAGAAATTCTTCCCTGCTCCTACCCAATATCTTATCCATTTGGGTGTTTTGTTCAACACTTATCTCAGTCAGACCCAACTTTCTCTTCTTTGATTCTGTTTGTGGAGCTGGCAGTCTTCAATGCCCTTACTGCTCCCTTTCGTACTGTTCAAGAGGTTCTATCTCTTTTGGGAATATGGTCCTCTATGGTGGCACTTATCCCCATGGGTCGTGCTCATATGAGATCCCTTTAGTGGTCTCTTCAGAATCCCTATTACTCTTCCTCCTTCCCTTGTCGACGATCTGCATTGGTGGTTGCACAAGGATCAAACTTCAGCAAGGGTTCTGCTTCCTTCCCCCTAGTCCAGATGTATATCGTTTCATGGACACTTCGCTTCACTTCTGGGGGCATTGGTCGAGCACCAAGTTGCTTTGGATCTGTTGTCTACAAGAGAAAGGTCTCACCATATCATTATCCTAGAGCTGCTTGCTGTCCAGCAGGCTTTGAATCATTTTCTTCATCTTGCCCACAATTGTCTGTTTATAATCCATACAGACAATTCTATGGTCATGGCATATATCAATCGCCAGGGGACACCTGTATTCGATCCCTTTGTTCTCGAACATAGAATCTCATGTTTTGGGCCCATACACAAGGTATTCATCTCCTTGTGTGTTATGTTCCAAGTGCTTTCAATCTTGTTGCAGATCATTTATCCTGCCCAGACAAATTTTATCCAACAAAGTGGTTTTAATATCCTCAGGTTTTCAAATGGTTGTGCACTTGGATGCATTTGCCAGTATCCTCAATACCAAGTTACTTCAATTTTGGTTTCTGGTACCTCATCCACTTTCTCTGGCTGTTGATGCATTCAGTCAGGATTGGACAGACAAATTCATATATGCTTATCCTCTTTATCCGACTCCTTCCCAGGGTGATTTCTGTCATTTACCCCATTTTGTGTCAGATCCTTCTGATTGCCCCATATTGGCTGGCTCATCTGTGGTTTCTGCAGCTGCTTCGGATCCAATCTGCTCCACCATTGCCTCTTCCCAACACTTCCTCCCTTCTATAGCAGCCTCAATCTTGGTAGCTCATCCCACCATTCCTGCTCTTCAACCTCACGTCTGTTTTTTTTTTATATGGTCCTTGGCGAGGAAATCGGGTTTATCACAGTGAGTAGCTTTGTTGTTGGCACATTCTGTTCAACCTTCTTCCATTGAGGTTTATCAACATAAGTGGAATGTCTTCCTCGGGGGTTCTCCCCTGCTTGTCCCACTATTATTATGTATTTCCTCACTTGGTTACTTGATCAAGGGTCTTTAGTCTCCTCGATTGCTGGTTATCAGGCAGCCTTATCCTACACCTTTTATTTTTCCTGTTACTGTAAAGTTTTTGCCTCTCATACCTTGTCCATCCTGTTACATTCCTTCAGGATTAGTTGCTCTCCACAGCGTGCAGCTCTTCTGGTTTGGGATATTACAGTAGTGCTTCATTACCTTACTTTATCTCCATTTGAACTTTTGTCTTCTTGCTCCATATTTAATTTATCTCTTAAAGTGTATTTCTGTATTTCCTCCTCCTCCTTTTGGGCTGTGGACATCGTCAGTTGGATTTGTTTGCCATCAATATTTTACGTACTTTGTATTGTTTCTACTATATTGTCCTTTACCCAGATTAATCATTCCTTCCCAAGACTTCAGCGATTTCCCTTCATTCCATTTCCCAACTCTATTTCCAGTCTGATCTGAAAAGACTTCTATGTCCCATTAATGCTCCTTGTTGTTATATTGCATTCATGGCTTCCTTCCATCTTAACTGTTCCCGTCTGTTCATCCCTTAACAATTATCCTTGTTCATGATCTATCTCCTTCCACCCTTACCAATTGGGTTCGGCTTTTAAATTGATTGGCTTTTTCTTCCTTGTCTCATTCTTCATTTCAATTATTCTGGGTGCCTTCCCATCAGATTAGGCACCTCACTTTTTCCCTGGTGTCTCATCTGCTTCATCCATTGGAGAAAATTCTTCAAGCTGGACCACTCCACATACTTTCATTTCTTATTATCTGCATTATGTTGCTTTTTCTTCCTCGCCTGGTTATTGTCTTCCACCTGTTGCCACTCTTCAGACCTCAGTGCATCTACAGTTGGATAAGTTTCTTTTTTTTTCTTATTTATCTGTTTCAGTGGGCAATCCCATGCTTTGATCTGGATCCCGCTCTGTAGCGAGTGGTGCCTGGACAGGTATACTTCACTTACATAGTTTGGTACTCAAATCTGCACATTAATAATATCTACTATATAATAAGTTACATTTTATATATTCACCAGATTTTATTTAAGATATTAAAAATGTTTTACTTTAAATGCATAAGTGTATGTTATAAACAGATCTACAGGTCCATCAGTATTAGTTATCCATTCCTTCAATGCCAATTCAATACATGTATTTTTAGCATTAAATAATGATCTTATTTTATTTGGAATATTATTATAAAGTATTGATGCTTTATACAAATAACTTTTTTAAGTATTTCTTTTTTTCTACTTTAAAACTCTAAATTCCTAAGCTATTCGGCTCTTTTTTTTTAATATACTAGTTTTAGTTTTTGCCAATTCTGTATATTCCTACTAAATCTATTTAATGATTTGTTAATATATAATTTATGTACTAAGTCATATTTTTTGACATAGATTTTATCAAATGACTTTTTTTTTATCATAGTTTTAAGTCGATTTGACATGTTAATTCTAATTATATATCGACATTTTGTCGTTTTCTAATATTTATTTAATGTAGTTTACAAAGAAAAATGTTTAGTTTTTTATTTCAGCACAGCTTTGAGTAGTTTTGCCTGAAAACAACTGACTTGTTGATTCTGTTAGAATTTTATACTAACCTCAACAAAAAACCTAATTTTGCTAAGAAATTATCTCCTCTTGAGAATAAATTATCTGTTTCTTGATTTTCAAGCATCTCCTTTGTCTTTGCCTGCTTAGTTTTTGTTGCCATCATTTTGTGATATCACATCAAGTGATTTGATGATTTACTGATGAAACACAGCTTTGAAAACAGCTCTAAAAAATTTTTGATGTAATTGAGTAGAGCAAGAATTAGGTTTTTCTTGTCGTGGTAAAGTAAATAAAGTGGTTTGAGCAGTAATGTATGGTTTCATGGGAAAGTTTCTAGTCAAAGTTTCTGTAGTAGCATTCAATGGAAAGTTTGAAGACTTATGAACAAATCTACAAAACTGGAATTGTTTTACAGTTTCATTAAGTGTTTATTTGTTAAATTATATATATCTGTTTGCAAGTTAAAGGAATTTTCATCACTGAGAAGACATCAGAAAAGCTTAGTTTGATTTAATGAGTACAATAGGTGATGACAATGTATTTTAGTGACTCAAGTCTTTGTTTATTGAATATAATTTTATGTTTATCATATTCAAACAATATATGTAAGTACGTTAGCTAACTGGTTACATAATTATTTCTAATTGTAATCATGGTATGCTATAAATAAAAACATTATTACTATTGTCAGTGACAGTGAAACATGTATATTATATTAAATGAAGGGTTGTTTGAATACGACCAAATAAAAAGCTGAAAATAGGAACATTAATCTCATGAAAATAATGAATTAGTCAAGGTGTACATTACTGTACATGCCTATTCCAAGAAAAAAGTCATTGCTGATTGACTCATTGCACTACTTTTCCAAGTGGAATGAACTCTGATGATTATGTTGAATTTCCAGTTTAATACATTTCCTCACATGGGAAGTTTGTGAACATCTTACACAAACCATTCTCTTGTATCATACTTGATAATGATCATTGATGGACTTTGTTTCCAAGGATCCTTGGTATGTGTTTCTATTTGGAGATATTTCTTTGTATCGGGTGTGTTGTTGTTGTTGTTTTTTTAGTGCAATTGTACTAACTTTCAGACATACTTGAAACTTTCTCCAGGAGTGCCAGGCACTTCTCTGCTACACTTAACAACAACTCTTCATGATTGTAGGGTTTCTAGGTAAAAAAGTTGTGGTAGAGGCCAGTTATTATATTTAAAATTTAATATTGATATATGAGATTAACTCATATTTGATAATAAAAGTTCAGAACAGTGTTTTATCATTTATTTTGCTAATTTGTTCGATGTTTTGAGGATGAGATTCTGATTTTGGTTTATAAATTTGTGTAGTATGTTATAAGCAAACAGAATTTGAAACTTGATATATGTTCACAGGGGTGCAAAAAATGAAGCACTTCGTAACCAACAAAGTATAGATCAACTCGGCCCAGCCAAATCAGCTAGTAAGTGAATGTCTCGTGTGAAGTTTGTTGTTTCCAAATCACGTCTCTATACTCGCATTATCTTAGAGTGTTAAATGCTGGAATATATACTTTTGTACATTACACTTTTATTAGTGTAGAAGAATTTCATGAACTGTAAATATGAACTTCATCAAGAAAGAAATGACAGTAATTGCAGAAGAAACATTGAATAACTTTATATATGTATAATTATGTCTAATTTGTTTATCTTACTCAATCTCTAGGCAGACTGACTTTCTTCTCGATATATATAAATATAGCGTAATATAGATAGTGACACAACTAAGGAATATTAGTTAGTAATTTGATGAAATGAAATGAAAGACAAGTACCAAATTATTAAAAGTTTGTCAGTTTTTTATCAATGTATTTTGTTACCTTAGCTTAAGAGTGCTGTACTTGTATGCAAATATCATATTGGTGGGATACTGCATGCTATCTACCATTAAATTGTGCATACAGTTATATCATTATCTGGGTATATGGCAAGAATGTATATTAGATTTTTAATTGACAGATTGGTCGGTAGAAAAGATTAAATTGAAAATAAATGTCTATAAAGAGTATTATTTTAATAATATCAGACAAGGAAGTGGCAATGGTAAAAAATTTTTAACAGGGTAATGAAAAGAATATAAAGTAAATAAAGTGAGTTGACTTTTGGTTAGTGTGATCTTAAGATCCCTAAGAAAGAGTATTGATTGAATTATATATATAAAACATGATGAGTAAGTCTTAACAATGAATTTAAATATTCTGATCGTGTGATGAATGTGTTATTTTTGAAAGAAATTTCAATGTATTTATGTACACGTGACAAAGTCTTTAGACAAAGTTAGATGTTTGTGTGATGATTAAAGTTCTCAAAAAAGAACTACACAAAATATAATGACTGAAGTCATTAGGTAGAGTAATGGGGTGCATTTTTTTGGTAAAACATTTGTTTGAATTAATTTCCTGACAGAATGGTACTTGATATTACAATAAATTATCAAGTATACTTACAAGAAATAGATAACAAGACAGCTGTGAATTGCTTTTAAGAGTTGTGTTGATATTTAGTTAAACAAAGTAAGATACAAATACTGTGGATTTCTTTATCTTTAGTGAAATTTTACATGATGGACATGTGAGAATGTGCCAACTGTTATCAGTTTTAAGAAAATAAATCTGTGTATCTTATACTTAGTTATTTTGTAAAGATATCTTAGATGAACATAATATGATTATCTTAATTTTGAATTATTTTTTGGTACACTTATATATGTATCACAAAAATACCTAAAGAAATTCTATTGTGAATATTCATTTTAGAAAATACTTACAAGTTTTAAACATTATCCTAAACTTCGCAAAATAGTAAAACCAAAGTTCATACATTTTATTTGTGTTTCATTTATACATTATTTAACTCAGTTTTGTGATTTGAATCATTATGCTTTTTACATCAAATGATAACTTCTAGTGCTGCTTTAGGAGTGGTTTATGCAATCACATTGTATTGATTATTTTATATATATAAGCTACTTTTTGAAGATGAATATGGTGTTTTAGTTCTAGTTAAACAGTCTCATGCCATCACTGACATAGAGTACTCTGTTATTGTGTTCTAACTACTTTAGTTAAGCTGTGTATCATAAATTCACAAACAATGTATCTGTAAATCTGTGCCCAATATTTATCTTAGAGAATCTGTGTATACAACATAATTATTATTTTATATGTATAAGTGTGTGTTTATGTATATACACACACACACACACATATATGCAACCTACAGACAGCTCTTGATTGTTAGAGTAAATTTAGCTGTAACACAGCAATATACTTTAATCATGTTGTTGGCAAGAAACATTTGGATGTTAAAATTGTTAGATGGAATGAAGCAACAGTTTATTTTGTATTTTTTTATTATAACTGATTTGAAACAAATGAAAGGGTTGATAAATTACATTTGTTTTTGTGTGATGAAAAAAAAAAAGATGTGAAAGAATGATTAATTCTAATGTTTCAAATTGAATTTGCCCACAATTGTGCACTTGTAGATCTATTTGATATTTTAAATTGTACTCTTGTGAAGTTTAGTTTTGTTGAGAGAATTATCAGAATTCTGGTTATATTAATCTATTACCTTAAAAGGTAGACATAGGCCAACATAACTCATTTCTTCATCTTTAATTTTGCCCATTACATGTTGAAAGTGTAATTAGATTTTTTTTTTACTTTTTAAGTAGCCAATACTGGTATTTTAAGGTTTTTTTACAATTTGTGAGAGCTCCATATTAAAACTGTAAAAAATTAAGAGGAAAGTTGCAATTTGTTGTGTACTTAGTAACTAAAACTAATTGGGTGCAAAGTCATAGAAGAAGTCCAAAAATAAGGACAAAATATAGGTTATTTTCTCTTCGAAAAATTACAGAATTGTTATTTGATATTTTATAATTGTATAAACCAGTCAAAAAGATAACTTTAACTAGCATAATATTCTGTAACTATGTTTTGACACAATGAAAGAACTATATTAACACAAATGTACTGTTCATTTTTTCTAAATGTACAGGTTGTTATTAATCATTGTTTACTGAAGCATTTTATATAATTCACTGGCATCAGAAATAATGAAAAAATGGTGTTAGTTTGTGTTTCAGTAATATTAGAAAAAGTATTTTCTAAAAAGCTTTTTTCATATTCCAATTTAATAATGTGTAGATTTTGTTATCTATATATGAAAGTAAAATTCATTTTATTTTAAAATTTAAATATTCTGTCCAATATTTTAAGTGTGAGTTATAAAGGAATTAGGATAGGACATATATAAAGTGAGTAATGTAGGCTTTTCATTCTAACAGTTTGTCATTGTCTTAGTTTAATTTTATTGAAAACCAAAAAACGACGATTAAAAATAGTTTAAGAGCATTTGGTATTTTAACACACTTTGTGTTGTGGGATATTTTATGAAGCAGTATGAATGTATATTCTACCCATGAAAATTGACTAAAGACTGTTTTCTTAGATTTCAGAATTTTTCAACATTTTCTGATGAAATGTGTTTCAAGGAAATATTTTAATATTTTGGAAGTTATTATACTGCAGGCTTGTCACATAAAATTATTTTTTTTTATGCAAAAAGCATACTTGCAATTTGGTATTAATTTCAAATTATGTTTTTTGTCCCCCTTTTTTTTTAATCAGTAAAAATTCAAAACTCCCATGGTTTACAATAAAGATTTAAACATTATAATCCGGAAGTAAACCATTAACTGTTATTATCATAACTGGTAGTTACAGAACATAATTACTCAAGGTAATTATATAAAATTTATTAACAAGTTGGATATATTGATGCTTTTTCAAGGTAACATTTTCTAGTAAAATTAAGGTTAGAAATATATTTTTAAAAAGCAAAATATTGATGCAATTAGTTAATAACTCACTAGATGGCATCTCATATTTGACCACTTTTAGTTTTTCATACAAAAGTATTTCATAAATTTTGTTTTTCCAGAAATCTACAAAAGCTACGATTATTGTTGAAGTTAGCAAAGAAAGTGGTGTTTGTACTTTATGAATATTCTGTAAAATTTCGTGCTTTAATTGAACTTGTCATTAATAATAAAGCTGTTATTCAAAGTGACGTCATTCTGTGCATCCTGTCTTTCTGAAAAAACTTTTGGTTATTGCACCGAAAAGAGGGAGGGAAAACAATTACGAGCAGTTGCATACAGGGAGAATACTAAAAAATCTGAATACATATATATACATACAAGATTTTGTGTGTGTAGCTGTAGGTTATATATTTAGAATATTTTGCCAAGAATCATATGATTACTAGTATAATAGATACTTATTTTGCTTAATAAGGCAAATTATGTTAGTTTCTTTATGAACCAAAATGTTAAAAAAAAGGGCTTCTCACCCTAAATACATTCTCTTTGACAAACTAAAATGTTCAAAAAATAAAGGCTTCTCACCCTAAATACATTCTCTGACAAATTAAAATGTTCAAAAAATAAAGGCTTCTCACCCTAAATACATTCTCTGACAAATTAAAATGTTCAAAAAATAAAGGCTTCTCACCCTAAATACATTCTCTTTGACAAACTAAAATGAAGATTCGGATTCAAGATTTTTATTGTTTCTTTCAAATTGGATCAATAGTATGATTAGAAATGTTTTTTATGGAAAATAGTTTTACGAATACATAAAAGTTTTTAAGTGGGGTTAGTACTAGTGAAAGGAATTATTTTATTTTATGTGGAATACATTTTATTTTAATGTTACTGTCTTTGGAAGAGACGGTGTAATGAAGGAAAGTAATTGTAGGCTCTGAGTTTACTTGTAATTTTTATGAATTTATTACGTTAGTATGTTGTAATTACACAGATATAGATATGTATGTAAATTATGTACTATTAATTTGCGAAGAAAAAACCATGATTTGTTTGAAATGATATACTCATCATAAAATTGTTTCTTTACCAGCACTAAGGCCTTATCCTAATAATAACTCATGTTAAATATATACTGGGATATCACTAAAACTTAATGTCATTAGAAAACAAAGGAATATGGGCCAACGTGAAAATCTATGACCACTCAGAAAGAGACCTGCAACAAGTCATGTCCCAACTGTGGTAAACAAAATGGTGTATTGTAATACGTGATAGTATACGAACACAAAGATCAATACGAAAATCCATCCAAGTGGACCAGGCAACAGTACCTAGCATGACCAAGGATTCCCATCTGAAAAAGCGACATCGGTTGTTTCCGTGATATATGTATTCAACCTTTGCATACCTCAAGCAACTGGAAGATGAAATTGGTATTCATGCTATTCTGTACAAAGATATGCTGGTCAAATCGCCGGATGCAGTGCCAATGGACTTTATGCAATTGGACTGCTGAAACGTTGGCTGTGAAACTAATGTCTCGTGAATTATGAAATGCAGCAAAGAAAAGTGGTGTGCTTTAGGCATGACAGCCTTTAAAGCGGAATAGAAAATATGCTACAATGCTATTGTTAAAATGTATGGACTTCAGATGCACGTGGCTACATGGACTGTCACAACGTGGTATGGCCCCAAAATCATATAACGTACTCAGTCTCTGTACTATAGTATCTTATAATTTAGTGTGCTAAGAAGTAGTAAAAATCCAGTACTGTGTATGCCGCCCCTGTAAAAAAGCAACAACATCTTAAATACAAAAAAAATATAATCTGCAGTATCTTTAAAAAATATTAGTAATTTTTTACTCCCAATACAATGTTTTTTGTTTGTTTGTTTGTTTTCGTTATATTTTATTTCCCAGGATTTTTGTTATTAATTTCATAATGGAAAAGAAAAGAGGGGATAAAATCCTACACCCGATTTACAAATGAATTTTTAAGCACAAAACCACAAAATGGACTATCTATTCTCTGTCAACAATGGGGAATCGAATCCCGTTTAAGTTCATAAACTTACTTCTGACCACAATGGTGAAAAACCTATAAATGTCAGATGCATTTAACCTTATTCATAAATGTCCAAGATAAACAGTGCTGTAAACATTTAAACTATTATATATATATATATATACACCTAGGAAAAAAGTTAAGCACCCCGGTTGTTTTTTTCAAGTGATTCAGATTCGACGTTA